GTGCTCTCCGGTGAAGTTCGTGTTTTGGTGATCAGCTCCGATCAACCTGTAGAGAAAAGAATGGTAATCACGGTGATATAAAAATTGCATTAAACAGAGGCCGGGGAGGGGCTCATCAGAGGCAAAAACCGAGGAGGGGCGCGGCGGCGCCGCTGGCTTTCGGCCGTGTTTTCCGGCCGTTTGGCCAGGATTTTGGCTCCGATTTGGCCACTGGGGAAATCAGCGTGGAAAAACGAGTCGGGGGTATGAAATTTACCTCGATCGGCGGTCGAAAATCCCTCCGGTGCGGCGGCGGGTGGCAGCGGCCGGCTTCTGGTTCGTCTTCTCCGGCGAGGGCAGGCGGCTAGGGTTTGGGGTCTGGTGTGGGGGTCTTATTTATACCCTTTTGCCTTTTGATCTTAGCCGTCCATTTTGATTAAATCTGGGCCGTCCGTGCGATTAAATCTGGGCTGTCCGTGCGCACGATTGATCTGGGCCGTCCGATCGCCCGCACGCGGATCGCCAACGTGGCCCGTCCCCGGTCGACGTGGTTTTGCCATGTGGCAGGTCCTGGTTGGCCAGGACTGCTGACTGGGTCTGCTGACGTGGCGCGCCCCCTTTTTTTTCACTTTTCCCAGGCGCTACATCTTATGCCATAATGTGAAATAGCACGAACTAATGGATAGAAGTAGATTTGCAACTTTAAAGCAACAAAAAAACAATATAATTTACTTAGTCAATTGTATATTTTATAGTTTTATTATTATTTTTTTATAAATATCATATCATATTAGTGTAAATTGAATAATAATCTTTTCACTAGAGTGATTATGTCCAAAATATATTTGAAAAATTGACGTTTTAATTTTAAGCTTTTTAAGGTAAGAAACTATTTTGAAAATAAAATCAAAAGTGAGGATTAAAATTGTAAATTAGTAGAAAAATTGAATTTTTATTTTAAATTGATTGGTACGAGTAGTTTAATTATATATTTTAATAAGAATACATATATCTTAGAAATTATGTGATACCCACATATTACGAAAATATAAGACTTGAATAGAAGCTATAACCTTTTAATCATTTAGCAAATGAGTTATTTGTAAAATAATGATATTTAATGTGAAATCAATAATATAAAATATGTTATGATATTTAGTTGATCGCTTAGTAATAAATATTAAAAAAATTTCACAATAATATAAGTTTAATTATTATAGTAATTTAAATAATATTAAATATTTTAATATTTAATTATTTTAAAATATTATACTTATTTTAAAGGTGAATCCATAAAATAAAAACAAATGTTATAACTTGTGTTGTATAATGTGAATAACATTTTTAATGAGAAAGTTTACTAATTTTGTATTTATTAATATTTTATAACTTGTGTTATATTTTATTAATACTTTTAAAGGAAATTTAGTGATAATCTATTATGATATTTTTCTATTTATTACAAATTATTAAAAATTTAGATAGCAGTTATTGAAGGTGGTAATTTATATTTAATAAAATAATTAAACAAATATAATATTTTACAATAATTAAATTATTAATAAACCTTTTTTTAAAATATTTAATATTATTTATGTAATACCCGGGTCCGAAAATTGGTTTATGATGATTTTTTTTTTATTTTTTTAAAAACATTTTAATAAGTAATTTTATTTATTTTAATTTAAATTTATTGAAATTTTTTTAGAAAAATAAATTAGGTACGAAATTGAAAGCAATTTAAAAAAAATGAGTGAAATTTTGAATTCGGTAGGTATTTGTAACGACCCTGGAAATTCCAAAAGAAATAAATTATAAATTTAGTACGAAAGCGATATAAATAGTTCATATTTATATTTTTTATACAATAACTGAAAGTACCAAATAGGATTTACGGGAATAACCATTCTAAAAGAACAATTAATAACCAATAAAATAAATTAAAAGTAATCAACTGAATGTTCTACTTGCAATCCTCTTGTAGATCAGGCTCTAGATCCTAGTACTCTTGATATGAAATTCTTAATGAAATAATGAGCTACACTAGCCCAGTAAGAATATCACGCTACTCACCGATACATAAATAAATGTTGGTAGAAATTATAAAAACAACTAATAGAGCTCTTAATTTAGCAAAATCGTTTATCATAAATAAAATCATTTACCGTCTACTTACCGTAGTGAGATTTACAAAAAAAAACTTATAGAAGCAATGACATAGCACATTATAATTTCATACACAATCGGTCATGTAGCAGCCCCGGTAATTCAAAAAATGGAAATTATATTATAAATATTATTTGCGGAAGCGAGATCAAAATTTCAGTTAACATCCCTTACACGAAAACCAAAAACGTACTTAAAGTATAAAAGATTAAACTAACTAAGAGAGAAACTCGAAAATAAAACTATGAGTATGACTACAGAGTCTCTAGGCATCCCCTTCGTCGTCCTCCTGCGGAACGGGCTCGGGAACCATGTCTTCCTGATCTGAAATGGTTAAATAAGGAGTGAGCTACACTAGCCCAGTAAGAACATCACGATATCTCACCGTCACGGAGGTAAAGGTGGGTAGAAAAACACAAAAGACCAATGGAGCATGATTTACAACAAATCCTTTTTTATTTATGATAAAACCTTTACCATCCACTTACTTCGGTGGAATTCATGAAGTAATATAAGAAAACAATAACATTATCACAAACATAGAATAATATAAGCTGTAAAACATAGCACTTATCACGCCTTTTGTAATTCAATCATTATACAACATATCATTTTCTCATTTACCAGCCTACTAGTATCCATGGGGGTCCATAGGGGTCCCGCTACCCGTTAACCTTTAACATTCATAATCGGTTTCCAGGGTCGTCCCCATACCCCGTCTGGTATGGGCGCCAAAACCATAAACCTCAATACCCCGTCCGGTATGAGGGTGAAACAGGCCGTCCCCATACCCCGTCCGGTATGGGCGTCAAACCATAAACCTCAATACCCCGTCCGGTATGAGGGTGAAACGGGCCGTCCCCATACCCCGTCCGGTATGGGCGCCAAAACCATAAGATCTCCATACCCCGTCCGGC